TGGTGTATCAGTCTACATCTATCATGTGAACAGTGAGAGTCCCATCTACGTTATCCGAGCACGTGTTATGTAGAGGTGCGCGGTATTACCTGTATACCGGTATACCACGGTATGTGACCTGTACCAGTACGTACCGCGGTACTTTGTGTGGTGTAGTGGTGTACCGGCTTTTTTGAGCTATTTTTATCACCTCAATTTTAATTTCATTCCTTGTCATTGCATATTTATAAATTCATCTCCGTCGATCGACCATTTACGCTATATTCACGTATCTCCAGAACCTATTCTATATGTCTAGTAGATAGTCTCGCGATGTTTTATTTGAAATACTTCATTTATAGACTGGTTCTAGCTGTACGGACACTCCTACTCTCGCTCATGTTTGTTTCAAAGGAATTACAAGATATAGCAGATTACAAGAATAACGCGACGCGGCGACTGCCAGGCGTTTTTCTATGAGCGCAGCAGCGGTGCTTTTGATGAGAGAACGGGGCGCGATCGATCACGAGCGCGTAGCGCCGGTAGCACGTTTCACTAAAGCCGCCGCAATGGTGAGCTTATTGCTGAGCAACGACCTCGCGCGTCAGCTCAGCAGATAGGCTCACCATGTGCGCGCGGCCTTTAGTGAAACGTGCTACCCGCGCTACGCGCTCGGTGATCGATCGCCGCCCCGTTTTCATCAAAAGCCCGCTGCTCGCCTCATAGAAAAACGCCTGGCAGTCCGCCGCGTCGCGTTATTCTTGTAATGCTGTATATTGGTAATTCCTTTGAAACAAACATGAGCTGGAGAGTAGGAGTGTCGTACAGCTAGAAACCAGTCTGAAGTATGAAGTATGTTCAAAATAACAGCGCAGCTATCTATAGACATATAGAAATAGGTTCTGGAGATACGTGAATATAGCGTAAATTGGTGTGATCGACCGGAGATGAATTTATAAAGCTATGCAATGACAAGAAGTGAAAATAAAATTGAGGTGATAAAAATAGCTCAAAAAAGCCGGTACACCAAGTCTACACCACACAAGTACGCGGTACGTACTGGTACAGGTCACATACCGTGGTAATACACCGTATACAGGTAATACCGCGCACCTCTACATAACACGTGCTCGGATAACGTAGATGGACTCTCATGTTCACATGATAGATGTAGACTGATACCACTAACCCAACGCAGAAAACAGTCGATCGTAGGTATCAGGCTTTTGTGGTTCTGAAAGTCCTTGAAAGTATAAAATGGACTCAGCTAGAATGTTAGGTAGTCAATTCACGAGATCCTATAAATAAGTACGTGATGGCACAAGTTGTTGTCTCCGCTCCATCTCGTACGGGTGTCGATTCCCAATGCACGCAATTTTCTCGAGATAGCGTGCTTTGCGCTACGTTGTCTAGTGAATCAAATACTTGTCCATACTACGTACACTTCAGCACAGAACTTTGGCAAATGTGTATACACCCGATATTATAAAAAGCTGCGTTTGATAGCTATATGCAGTAAAAATCGGTAAAATTTCGGCTACCGTGTGCGGTAACTAAATTCTGCACGATTTTTGGCCTCGCGAGCAGTGAGACGGATATCTAGCGTGTTGATATTTCTGAGGCGCAGCTCACCGTGTGCACTCCCTGAGATACTAGCTCAGCCACAAATATTTACAGGCCGATGAAAGCGCAGGAGTCGGGCATGTGATTTATAATGTCGCGCCAATGGAGCAATGTTCAGGACTTATCGTACACTGTGTGCGTCCATGCACCGATCATACATACACGCGCGTACACTGTGCGCGGCCGTGTACGCATCATACACGCGCGCGTACAGTGTGCGCGCCCATTCACGCTCATACACACGGGGTCTTGGGCATTCATGCTTGCCCGGCCCATGCAGCAATCATACCACACCCGGCTACACTGTGCGCGGCCCGTGTACGCCCATCATACACCGCGCGCGTAACAGTGGTATGCGCCCTATGCACGGCATATATACACACCACGCGGTGACACTGTGCGGCGCCCATGCTCGCATTCATACACACGCGCTACACTGTGCGCGGCGCCTGTGTAACGGCATCATACCCACGCGTGCGTACAGTGTATGCGGCCCATGCATTGCATCATCACACCACGCCCGCGTACATCTGTGCGCGCGCCCATCCCGCAATATACACACGCCGCGATACACTGTGCGGTCGGCCCGTGTACGCCCATATACACGCGTGCGATACGTGTATGCGCCATGCAATGCATCATAGCACACGCGCGCTGTACACTGTGCGCGGCCCATGCTCGCATCAATACACACACGCCGCGTACACTGTGCGCGGCCCATGCTCGCATCATACACCACACGCGCGTACACTGTGTCGGCTCCGTGTAAGACCTTATACAGCGCGCGCTACACTGTGTGCGCGACGTTATAATTCCTCTCGACGGTGTCTGCAACCCTGTTCTTCGAAATCGCGGTAGATTACCGCTGGCTCCTTTCGTAATTTCGCGGGTACCACAATCTAGTGTTATGCACTCCCAGTCTCTGAATACCGATCTCTCTATCTGATGCATTGGCGTCACGATGAGAGAAATATGGCGACAGGCATCACTGTCAGCATACTGTAAATTTAAAGGCCGGGCTTAGTGAATTACCTCAGCATGTTGCCGCGGTGCTATTTTATGTAGAGTATGTTGGACACGTGCAAATGACGAAATACCCACCCCACTCAAAACAGCTGCCTACTCGGATGCCGGCGATATATGTATATAAGTATATAATGTGTAGGGCGTTGCGCCGAGGTGGCGGTGTCATCGATGGCTGTTGCAAGCGAGCCATTTGACCAGCATTTATACAGCGTAATTATCGCCCATACTAGGTGAAAGAGAGTAGAGCAAACATTAAGACAAAGCCGTAGTAATATACATTTCGTGTTTATCAACATTGCTTTTTTATTGAAATAACGCTCAGCGTCTGTGGTCCGCCTTGTCTCTCGCTCACTTTACTTCGTGTTGCTGATCATGCTTAGGCAGCCTAAAAAAGCTGTGTGGCTCTCTCTGATAAGAATTGGGCAGTGACAACCCCGCACGGAGAGCGGCGTTGTGCATGGCATTTTGTTGTATAGGCGAATGAAATGAGCCAGCAGAACATGAGTCATGCCTCAGATGTACTATGCTACCAATGCCTGAACTGGTTTTCTGGAACGTCATGGCAGGCGGCGTTGCATTAGTGGTAATTGGAAAATTTCGGAGCCTCTATACTACTGATTACCTAGACTATGCCAGATGGTCCTTGGGCATTCGTCGAAATGGTCGTCGGTCACGTTGTAGTCCTGCATGACTGTGCTGTATACAGATGTTATTATAGTATGTAATTATGGTTAAGGGTTGCAAAGGATAATAACGAGCTCCCCAATTGACGCATTCAGTTTCGCAGTGTGCCGAGTACTTCTGTAGGTAGACTAGCCCGGTAGCCTTGAACAGCTTACCGTTACGTTTCTGTTTCACGTCGTAGGATCCTAAATAATAGTGAACCTTTATTGCTCCAATAAAAAAAACCTTGCTTTATTATTATAAACAAGCTTCGAATTTCGTGAATAAACATCAGTACATATAAACGTTGCGCTCATAGGGTCTATGTCCTCACAGGTACTGCCGGAAACGTATCTGGATAACTATTTGATATGGTACTTAGGTTAGGGTTAGGGAGTAGGCGACTTCCCTAGACTCGTTTGGAGTACGGCGAGGTACGGTCGGCATTATTAGATAGTACGGGCTAGCCAGGGTACGTTCCGGTATTACCGAACCGTACCAGGTACATTCACGGCAGTACCCTGGGTGAGCATAGACCCTCTTAGGCATTACTGGACCTGAGCTTTTACGTTGCAAAGGTAGTTCACCTTACCGGTGACCTAGTACTTTCCTCATTATTTATATTTATATCAGACAATTTTGAAGAAGTTTTTTATTTTTATTTGGCAAACTACATGGCTTCGTTAGCTGCCCAAACCACGCAGAACGACGCAAGGTAGGGCGCGAAGTTGCGCGCAAAAGGCATGACGGAATTTCAACAGAAATGGCTGCACTTGTTTGAATTTCTTTCATTTATGCAGATCTACAAATGGCTTGCTGACACGTAAATCCATTGGTTTAGCCGAAAGTTGCTTTTAGTTAACAATAGGCGCGAAAATCAGATGATGCAGTAGGACCATCCATAAATTAGGTATAGATGCATTTTTGTCCCAGTCGCTATGTGAAGCTGCAAAGGTTATGGCCGGTTCGTTTGCTTGAGCCTTCTAACCACTTGAGGTGAGAAGGAAAGAAAAAAAATTTGTGGTACAGAGAGACTTAATAAAGGTTAAACAGATTAATAGAATTTTGCCATTGTTTTGTAAGTACTTAACGTTCCTAGAATGATCTGCATGCTTTACAGGCACGAACATTAAGCATTTTTTTCACAGCCAGAGGGCTGGTAACTAGTAATTTTGGCCAGCCCTACCGAATTTTTATTTACCAGCTCACAATTGGTTTTAGTAAAATCAATGTCATGTTTCAACGGCTTGCATTTCTCGATTTCACAACTTGTAAATGTTGATTAAGTATATGGCGCGTGATATTCCTTCAGGTGAAAACAGTAAATGTTAGCTATTTGCTTATATATAATGTAGGCCTATTTGCTATAAATAATGTGCTAGGCTATTGTGGCTCGTAACCGGCTGAAACCGACTGCGCCTTCGGAGGGACCGGTGTTTGGCCAATGTTACCGCCATCCAAATAATTTGCCGGCATATGCCGGTGGGCCGGTGCTAATTTTGCGCCCTGCTTTACGTATTGCAGGTACTATGCAGATAAAAAAATTTTGTATGATGGAAGCCTTGGTATCAGACGACCGTGAGATGAACGCCTAAAGAATCATAAATATCTGAGGTCACAGATCGAAAACTTGTGACATGATGGTACCTGCATTGAAGTGGGTCGGAGATCGCAGTGTGAATTTCAACGTCATGATTGTTTTTTGACAGATGCTTGGAAAATTGTGCCATTATCGTGGATCTCAACAACAGAAGCTGTATATAAAATCTCCGAGGAGGCTGGGTTACTTTGGATTTTCACTCAAAACGATGGTGTCTGAAGCAACGTTACGAGATGGGTACGACTTGGCCGTTATTACCGTGAACTTTTAATACTCATACGTACAGTTTGAAACATCACGTAGTGTAGAGATGCTTTGTATTTGTTGCTTGACTCAATTTTGTCACGCATTCGTTTCGTCGCAGGCACGTATTCCTGGGATTCACGAAGAATGGGCAGTTCCTACTGTCCTACACGCTACAGGTGGATGCAGAAGAACACACAGCTTACCCGATCTACCTCTACCGCCTGCACTGGTGGCTGTTTGTCCCACACAGAGAGCTTAAGAAGGTAACATAGCTGGCAGACGTATACTATGAACGGGAGTAAACAGATAAACCATGGACTAAACACGTATATAGTGCAAAACGCATGTGTTTATTCCAGTTCATTTTCATCCAGGAGCCTGGAAGCTGTAAAAATACAGAAGGCTTTGCAGGGGTCGATCATTAACCGTTTTAGCCCAGGTCAAGTTGCCCTCAGTTTAATCGCAACACATCAGGGAAGCAGTAGCAGTTTATTGTTGCGGATATCTTCCAATTTTCACCGGCACTACGGTAAATAATGAGGCAGCATAGCTATCCATCGGGGCTGTGATGAAAATCGATCCATGACTGCAGAGTTATCTGTACTTTTTTTCCAATAGGTGGCGACAGTAAGGCTGTTTGGAGAAGAGGAATTACAGCAGGATCTCTACATTGCTGTGTGTCAGTGGCCAACAGATGATTCTCAGATTCTTGTATACGGGTATTGGTGAGTGTTGTAGATGAATACATTTCTGAGATTGCAAGTCATTTCACCAATTCATATGTTACTTTACATTTGGATTTGAATTTATTGTCGCTTTTCTTACCATTCATACTTTAATTAATGTTATGTTAAATTAATTTCGATAACTCAGTATTTCCTTCGCGATACTCAGAATCATGAGCGAGGTGGCACAATTGAATATGTTAGTGCCAAAAGTGCTGACATAAATGCTTTCATATTACACTTGCCTAGCACAGAGTGGGCAGGCACGTAAGGAGTTTGCTCACACCCACAGTATTTGCATTGATGTGTGACAGGTAGGGGACACAGGAAGAGATCCCGGGACTGAGAAGTGTCGGCCGGATAACAATTTGGGGCCTGAGAATTTGGAGCGAGGCGACAATTTCAGCAAATATTGAGCGAGACAGATGGAAAACATGGGCGTGGCAGCCAGCCTCGCTTATCGTATACCAGGGAAAACAGCTATTGACTGGTGTTTCCTTGTCTGCTCTGTAGTTGGTTACAATAGGTTAGCGACTGCATGTGAATGATGTCACGTCAATGCATTGTTGTAGTTCGGTGGAGTGTTACGATGAGAAACATCAGTGCTACATCACCATCACTGCGTCGCCTCCCCTCGTACACTGCAGCGACTGCTCGGAACTGCAGAGCGAAGCCAAAGAAGAGGAAGAAGCAGAAGGTAAAATTGGGATGCTATTCTCATATATATATCTACATATATATACATATACATGCACGCACGCAAGCTAAATCCTTCCTGCTTCTCCGTTTCAGTATCCCTGAGGCCCCGCAGCTGCTTTCACAGTAAATGCTACAGTAGGGGGTTAGTCCACTGGTAGCACTGCGAGTTAACTTGCCACACGCTATCTCTATTTGCTGAATGCTAAGCAGAGAAGCCGTGTGTACCATTTTTCAATCTTTGGTATGACCCGGCCGGGAGTTAACCCCCGACCTTCCACATGCGAGGCGAGCACTCTACCATTGAGCCATCGCTGTGGTTTTTATATATACATATACATATACATTATATAGATTGCTTTTCAAGACAGAAAAAAGGTAAAAGAACCATATATCTACCATAAGTCCAAATTAATCGCTCGTTAACAACACGGCATATTTTTTTTTTGCCAAACTGACAGCTGATCCCTAGGCACGCACACCCCACAGTGCTGATCCTCCCAAGCCGTTCTAAAAATATATATACTCGTGATGAAATTATATTCCGGTTGAGTGCATTCGCGCAAATTGCAGGTTTGGTTAAACTAGCATTTCCTCTTTAATTCTTATAATCTTTGACTTCCTGTAAAAGGTGTTAGTGGGCAACTAATGCTTCACAGTTGCAGCAGTTTGAATGTGCCATCAGTTTAAAATCGACATTAGCGTCAACATCCACCTCAACGTCAAAATCAACATCAATATCAACATCAACATCAGCGTTAACATCAACATCAATGTCAACATCAACATCAACATCAGCGTTAACATCAACATTAATGTCAACATCAACATCCACATCAATATAAACATCCACATCAACGTCAATAGCAACATCACCATTAGCATCCGTGTGCTGTCGGTAGGCATCATCAGAGATGATGGGATCGGCGATGTTACACGCGCATCGTTCTGGTGTTTCAGAGGAGGATGAGCTTGGTGGAGCAAGGCTGTGTGTGCGTCACAGCTACACGGTACACACCAAGTATGAGCTCGCCTCGCCCTACCCTGCGTTCGCTCCCGCCACCTACATGAAGAAAGATGGACTAGTCACGCTTAACACCGGTGAGTGGTGCTTACTCTACAATATAGTTAGTATAGATATGTTCATGCCACTAATATCAATGGTAGTGATGCTGCTGCTGCTACTGCTACTGCTATTGCTACTGCTACTGCTACTGCTACTGCTGCTGCTGCTGCTACTGCTACTGCTGCTGCTACTGCTACTGCTACTGCTGCTGCTGCTGCTACTGCTGCTGCTGCTACTGCTGCTGTTGCTACTACAACTGCTGCTGCTGCTGCCACTACTACTATTACTTTTAAGTAGCATTAGCAGCAGCAGCACCATTAGTAGCAGTAGTAGTAATAATAGGGATAATTAATGATTATAATAATATAATGCACGTTGCTTCACAGGTGACTCGATCGTTGCTCTCAGCGTACACACGGAACTCGACTACCACGATGGCACCCCCACAGCGACCACAGACAGCGCTGCTTCCAGTCCTAGCCTTCGCTCTCCGCTCGCGAGTCCGCCATCGCTAGTAGGCCGCGACGCGATGCCGCTGTCACCCCCTAGTGTCAAGCAGCAGCCTTCTCCACGCTCGTTGTGCAGCGGCGACGAATGCGGCGCCCTCTCAACGCGCGACAGCAATAAGGAGAACTCGCAGCCAGCTGATGCGCCGCTGCCGCCAGGTGGGGCCACCGGACGGCGCCTTGCCGCGCGTGCCGCGGACGCTTGGATGCACGCGCACTGCCGCAGCGAGTGCGCGGCGGGGGCGCCACCGCAGCACGAGGTCACGTTCCCGCACGGCGACGCCGCCGAGTGGACGTTCCCGGCGCCCCCTGGTGGCGGCGCCGGGTTTGAGATCGCCGCAGACCGTTTGCGCGGTGGCGGTTCGGCGGGCGATGCGGCGACGATCTACGCCGGTCACGCCCTGCAGGGTCACTGCCTCGCGATGTTTCCCGATGCGCAGAGAGGGGGCGCCACTAAGGACGCCGTGCGGTCGTCGCCGCTGGCGTCATACAGTCAGCGGTCGCCCGTGCGCGTGGCGCCCTCGTATTCCCAGGTGCGTGTGAAGGTCGAGTAAAGGTCGTCTGGGTGGGAACAAGGTTGTGACCGTAGGCATAGTTATTGCTGCCTCAAGAATTTTTTTCCTCTTTTTTAGTATTTCAATAATTATTGCGTGTGTGAGTGCGTGTGTGGGTATGTGTGCGAATGTGCATAGATGTGTGTGCATGCACATTTGTATGTACATGTGTTTGCGTATATATATGTGCTTGCGTGGCATATCTGTGCGTGAAAAAAATACTCGGCATAGATTTTAAAATGATACGTGGTTCCTGCAGAATAATATATCGTTTGTCTTATTTATAGTTGTCGTGGTTGTCATGGCCACCGGAAAGCACGAGTTCCAGCTCTTCAATTAGTTCCATGTTCATCCTCCAGATGGACTCGCTTTGTGTAACCTGCACAGAGCGATGGTATAAAACTATGTACCCAACAGACAATTCTGCAATAGACATCGAAGGTAAGCGTTGTTAAATTTTCTGCTATTTATAATTTAAAAAATATTTTCAGAAATCATTTTCTTTTCTCCTTCCAGTATTAGGCTCTGCATTTGTATTACCGGCCCCCGGCTAAATGTTGCCTATGTCGATTTGGTGTTGTTGTCATGGAGATTACATTTTTACAGATGATACGTCAGTGGGCTATCATAGTTACCTGCCATTAGAGGTACACGGGTCTGCATATAAGCCTCTTGGCTTGGTCACGAAGGCACAGACACAAGCCAAGGTACGTGCACATGATATGCGGGGGGATTCGTTTCCACTAATAAGCCCCTAATTAATTGTTAATTAACTTTGTAATGTCAACGAGTTGAAGCGACCTCATTAGCTCACCTTGACATCGTCAAGCTGAGCTATTGCCATGGGTCGTCGTCCGTCGTACGTCTGTCCGTCCGTCCGTCTGTCCGTCCGTCAACATTTCGCTACGGTCAACAATAACTCAGGAACCGTTTGACCCATATGTTTGAAATTGGGTATAGTTGTTACTGCTATGGGAGAGGTTTGAACGTCCTATTTTGGAGCACGCCAGTCGACGTACATTCGAGCCACGGCAATTTTTTGGCAAAAATGGGAATTGCCATTAGTCAGTTCAGGTTCAACGGATTTTGCTCATTTTTGGTATGTGAATGAATAAGGGCTAGGGGTTTTGATATTTAAAAAAAAATTTGCAAATTAGGTAGGTTTTGGCAATTATATAGCATAATATATAGACACGCAGATAAAAGTCTGTGGTGTCACACTCGTCTGGTTCGTTTTACAAGATTTCATTGACAATATCTTTAATGCAAAATTGGTATTTCCTCTCCACCCTGCCGATAAAATGTCTATATTAGAGTAAAGTTTTACAAAACATGTCGGAACGCAGCATAACCTATTTATTTCGAATGCCATCGCTAAGATTAAGAAACATCAAAGCAGGTATAGCGCCATCTACCATCACAAATTGTGATTTATTTTGGTTTATAAATTATTATTGCAATATACAGATGGCAACCGTGTGCTACCGCCTAGAAAAACTCATACGAAGTAAACACTTCCATGCAACCAATTAACCTTTGACAAAAGTTGTGTTATGGGCAGGGAAACACCATTGTCACGTGGTATATAACAGCTACGTGGAATAAGCGTATCCACTCAATCTTACACGTTACATATCGGGCGCTCCGCTTTTAGGCAGTGCCTAAATCTGAATATTATAAAAACGTTAAATGGCGATCATTTAGGTGTAACGCCATCACTCGCCCACATCTCAGACTTTCACATCTCAAACATTTATTTTCACATAAAAAATTACACATAATTATCATAATTATCCCATATATACTCTTCGTTTCTATAATGTCTGTCGATGGTTGCTCAATTAAAACTGACTTCTTCTTACTCACTCATTTTTACTCACTCGCTACAGTGTCATTGACACTTTCATTTTTAGCTCACTTTGACATCGTCAAGATGGGCTATTGCCATGGGGCTTTGTCCGTCGTACGTCCGTCCGTTCGTCAACATTTGGCTACGGTCAACGATAACTCAAGAACCGTTTGACCCACATGTTTCAAATTGCATACAGTTGTTACTCCTATGGGAGAGAGTTGAACGTCCTATTTTGGAGCATGCCCGTCAACCTACTTTCGAGCCACGCCCACTTTTTGGCAAAAATGGAAATGGCCTTAAGTCAGTTTAGGTTCAACAGATTTTGCTCATTTTTGTTATGTGAATGAATAAGGATTGGTTCCAAAACATATCACACGTGTTTTGATATTTTTTTTAAATTATGCAAATTAGGTAGTTTTTGGCAATTTCACTATGCATTTCAGTGTCTGCCTACGGTCAACGATAACTCAAGAACCGTTTGACCCACATGTTTCAAATTGCCTACAGTTGTTACTCCTATGAGAGAGATTTGAACGTCCTATTTTGGAGCATGCCAGTCAACCTACTTTTGAGCCACGCCCACTTTTTGGCAAAAATGGAAATGGCCATCTAGATTCATTCGATTTTGTTAAATTTACCTACCTACCTATTCATACCTACGTGTAATATTGTGTTTTAGATTCTTCGTTACAGTAATTTGACTGGAATATATTACTTTTATTTGTGCGATAATCGAAAACCAAAATGGCGATCATTTAGGCGTAGTGCCATCTCTCGCCAAGATTTCAGACGTTCCGATCTGAAACATTTATTTTCGCATCAAAACTAACCCTGAAACAAAACAGTAACATTTCTATTAGTATAAAACAGGGAATAAGGACATTTGATTACATTTCGGTCCATCATAAATGAAACACTTACCAAATTTTAAATATCATCTCCCTCTTCTATCACACCCAAGGTGAGCTATAGTGTCATTGACGCTTTCATTATATTCACCATGCGAGTTAATTTACGTCATTACATGCGTTGTCAATTGACTGTTGATCAATTTCGTTTCACGAGTTGTTTTCGCAACGATTCTATCGTTGCGTCGTTTCCATACTTTCACACATGGAGTTTTGCGGAAGCTCTCTAGCAGCGTGACGCGTAAGTGAAAGCGTAAGCGTAAGTGAACAACTGGTTGTTGCAGAGAGGCGGCGTGGAGCGGCAGCATGTGCTGGTGCGCCAGCTGACACTCGATGTGGAACAGTACATCGTGGAGGCCGTCCACAACGAGGCGACGTGGACGAAGCGATACGTGTCGTTCACCGACTATGACGTGCAGATTGTCGACGTAAGTCACCATGGCAACGTCACGGCCGTGGTAATGCTACAGCTCTACTACCTTTGTCAAGATGTCAAGATGAGTAAAATTGCTCAGGTTTGTCACCAGATGGCAGTTGTTGCCAAGAGCTGACTACCAAACTCATGAATCGTAAAATAAAATAAATTTTACTGATGTCACATTAATCAATCGTGCCCATATACATTATCCCGAATTTGCAAGTCTCCTTATTTTATCTGATTTGTATATTTACGTGGTTTTCTTGAGACTTAATCCTGTGTTTGGATCATGGTAGTAGCTTCACAGTGACACATGGTCCTATGATGATGTCACCTATGATGTGTCATCTTATTTTCTGCTATACTATCTACTATGCTCATTATTTACTATACTACTATTCTATCTACTATGCTAATTATTACCAAGGGGTTGGCAGGAGGTTATGTTTTCATCAGCGTGCGTTTGTTGGTTTGTAACACCGTTCTTTGTGTACAGCCTCAAAAAGTTATGGACGGATTGTCATAAAATTTTCAGGATAGGTCAGAAATGGGCTAACTTGGAACTGATTAGATTTTGGTGGTGATCCTGATCCAATTAATTAATTAATGAAATTTTCAGGATAGGTCAGAAATGGGCTAACTTAGAATTGATTACATTTTGGTGGTGATCCAGATCCAATTAATTAATTAATTAATAAAATTTTTAAGATAGGTCAGAAATGGGGTAACTTAGAATTGATTACATTTTGCTGGTGATCTGGATCCAATTAATTATTTAATTAATTAATTAATTAATAAAAAATTTCACAGTGAGAGAATTCAGCTGCCTTGGCGGAGGTCTGCACTCTCCGAGTGCTCTAGTTTACTATACTACTATTCATTATCTACTTTACTACTTCATCATATTTAACACTAGTAAATTTTTTCTATAGGTTTGCCCAGAGTCGGATGACGTCATCATTCTCATCCTCGCGCTCGTACGCGCGCGCTCGCCCGTCAAGGGAGACAGTGGCGACACCGTGTTCAAGTATGTCTATACAGGCGCCTGTGGGCAGTACAGCGATCTATATGTTTTATATATAGTCTATATTATATTATCTATTTGTTAGTTCGCCAGCAGGTGGCGCTGCTTGAGTAAACCGCAAAGACTTGGCGCCGATGCTAGTTTTCCACCGGTATAATTCTTGCAGGGGCATCCCCAAGTTATATCAAACGGGGTTTCGGCTGGCGTGGCATCTCTCCAGCGGCACGTACACGACCGTCTACATCGACGATCTGGTGGAATTCAACCAGGTGAAGCCGTGGTAAGAGAACGCGCGTGCAGCGGACAGACCAGCACGTCGCATCATGCACGACATTTGCTTCCGTTTGCGTAAATTGATAATTCAGCGTTTCAGACCATCACGCGCGTCGGTTCCTGTGAACCGATGACGAGCATGTGCCATTGTTTCTCGCAGCAAGGATTGGCGCCCCGGTCACGCCGCCTGCCTGGAGCTGCAGAGGGCGCTACAAGTCCCGCAGGCTGCAAGGAAATCCGTCGCCGTGATGACCAACGAGGCCGTCTTCAAAGGTACCGTATGCAGTGCCACCTGGTGGTGCAGTGATTGAATGGTAGATGGCAATAAACATTGGATTAAAGGTGGCGACACAAACACTAAGGGGTCGTTCACAGTTATCAACATTTTTACAAGCGTACAAAGCTTACACTTTTTCGAGACCCCCCTCCTTCCCCCTAAAAGTGTACGAAGAAAAGTGCTGATTTTTTTCGCAGTATTCTACATAGAGATACATGTATATGAATTACATGCAAAACCGCCATCGTAGCTAGCTCGGTTCATTCGTTCAGCGGGCCTGTGCGTGGCGCGGGCCGGCCGGGGCTCGGCGCGTCGTGGCGTGAGGATGCGCGCGATGCCGGCTGGGGCGCGCGGCGCGGGAAATGGATCGACACGCGTACCGCGGGCATTGACCCCCTCCCCCCATCGTACGGTTTGTACGCTTGTGAAAATGATGATAATTGTGAACGACTCCTAAATGATAGATGGTGGTGGAAATACAGTTCATAAAAGTGTATATGTGTATCTAAACGTTTGTGCAAGAGTGCGTGCATGCATGTGTGCGTGCCTGTATGTGTGCGTGCATGTGTGTGTGTGCCTGTATGTGCGCGTGCATGTGTGTGTGCGTGTGTGCATGCACACGTATGTGTGTGCGTGCATACGTGTGCGTGCCTGCATGTGTGCGTGCGTACGTGCGTGCGTGTGTGCGTGCGTGGACATGTATGTAAGGGATCTCTTGTTTCTCTCCTGACAATCAAAATCTTGGCTGCTTCTTATCTTCGCAGGTCGTTCCTTGAAGGTGTTGCTAGACCCGCTTAACTACATCGCCGTCATCTTATGAGGCAGCCGCACGAATATAGATATCCCATAATACACTAGGTGTGACTTCACTTGACTCACGATACATCGCTTGCGCCACAAGCATTGCGTGTGAGGAATTGTGGGATATCGTCTACCCAACGTATGACGTGATTGCACGACTCAAACTCACAAACGTGCAACTCATGACCCCCTATCTTCAGCGCGATGTCACGTTTAATATTACACGCGTATACCTTAGCAAGGCCGATGCCTTTCCAGTCAGAGGAAAGAACCATTGACTTTGCAGCAACTCGGTATTGCAGCAGTGATGTTAACATAGGATTCTATTGGTCAATTGTGTGTGGCCTCCTGTTCAGTATATTATGGGATATATATATGGCCACGTCTCTCCTCATCGGTTCACAGCGATGGAAGATACCGATGATGGTCACGTGACGGCAGTCGTCTGGAATCTCCACACTCGTTAAGTTGCAGGGACTCGTGCTGCCATCTGGTGCGCACTTGGAAAGTGTCTTCCCACGAAATTTGCACGGGGAGAAATTTAATTCAATGAAAGAGATTATTTTAGGGGCATGTGTTTTTTATGTATGCGTGTCTCACATGTGCGTGCGTGATTGGTTGAATACGATTCCTCGGGCTCGGGTCTATTCGAAGGGCTGTGAATGCAGAGTGACACAAGAGCAATGAAATGTTTCAAGCAGCATGTACTATCACTCCGTGATGATGCTCTGTTGTTTCATTACAGTGATGTTGAGTATTGAGGTGGGGCCTGAATCTGCCATTAACAAAAAACTGGTAAAACGTGGTTTTTTAGGCGTGCATATTTGCAGTTTTATTTTAAAAGTTCTACTATCCAAGTGACGTACATACTATTTATATTTTTACTGTGATTTTTTTTAAAGTTTTGCAGTGACATGCTGTAGGTTTTGTGGGAAGGCATGTTCTGTCAGGTTCTCTGAGAGCATAGGAGAACTACAACTATCACCGAATTACTTGGCATTGTCGGCTCTATGCTTTATGAAGAATCATCAAACAGAGTTATTGATAAGGAAACAAAGCGTTTTTAAGTTTTCGGTGGTTGTCATCCATATCGTTTCATATTCAACAGAACACTTTAGATATGAAGCTTAATTTATTCCGTGAGCTGCCTTCCATTCCTGTGCCACTTCTATAATGTATTCTGTATATATATATATATATATATATATATATATATATATATATATATACATACATATATATATATATATACATGCTGTGGCTGTTATGATGGAGAGTTGGCAGAATCACTGTTCTTGTGTTTTCCAAAGTGATTCCAGCCATCTGCATTGGGTGAAACTCAACGAGTGGGTATGGTTGTTCGCTTGTTTTCTGCTGGCCGTGCGCATGTATAGATATAATTTCTCGCTGGCAACAAAGAGGGTGCCAGTGTATTTAACGTGACGTGTGGCCACAAAGTATCGCTTTGATCGATCGGTTAAATTTGATCGGCTGTAAATGATGACAGCCTAACTGATGTACTGCTGTGTGGTTTTAACAGGTTCACTGCGCCTCGATCATAAGTGATACATATACATACATTTTGTATATGTATGTATATATATATATATATGTATGTATATATATATATATGTATATATATATACGTATATATATATATATACATATATATGTATATGTATATATATATTGACGTGTATATATATTGTAGCGTCGCGTGATTCAATTCTTGTTTTGTTACCGGTATATTCGTCCATGTTACGCACTAGGCAATATTTGTACGAAAATAAATGTTCAAAAATTCCTGAATTAAATTACACATGTTTTATTAGTATTTATTACTAGTTAAACTAAACTATTAAAACTATTAATTTATGAATGTAATTAGGCTAATCATAATCCAATACAAGTATAAATAGATGATGGCATATTGTAACGATGGGGGTGTTGATTTAATACACCATCTGGCTACGTTAGTGTGTTAGCGCATGCGAAATATCTTACCAGACGAGTTGTATTTTGTGATGAATATGCATTTAATATGGTTAGCGGGTATCTCAACATAGATTCATGTAATCAGTATCACTGCCCTAGTCAAATTCTGAAGCAAAATAACTTCACACTGATATTATCATCATCTTTTGATTAATAATTGCTCCCAGTGGGGAGTGGGCCGATTCTGGAAGTACTGCAATACCAGACTAACTCGTGGAGGTAGGAGAGCAAGCACTGACCTTACCTCTCAATACCAAAAATCAGGTTAATATTCTGGTCCCTGGACAGTGTACGTATCAGATATTAAGCTGATAAGAACAGATTTTAGTTTTTAAAAGTAGTTTATTGAATTAGCAATAAAACATGTATGATAACATAAAATTGTACATGAATGAGTACATAAAATTGTACATCAAGTACACAAAGAGTACATAAAACTGTTCGTGAAGAGATAACACGATGCGACCCATACGACATGGCCGGGTATATCTAAAAACGGTAGCAATACTCATAACATTTAACATTAACAAAGTTTGTGTTTAACATTCAATATCCAGGGCGGTGGTAACAATCTTCGTTGTGCCCTGAATGGCCAGTAGACGGGACTTCTTCCGTAAGGTTCCCCAGGTTTTTTGGGGGATGTTGAGGTAGCCCGGGATGTTGTCATTGGCCTCTCTCCATGTTCCGGTCGTTCCAACGATGAGAGGGAGGACAGTGCCGACATCTTCATATTTCTCTTTCTTTTCGGTGGGGGCGCGCTCCATGTTGGCCGGCTCATCGAACACCACCGCGACGTTGATGATGGTGAGTCCGTCGGGGGTGTCTAGTTGTATGTCCGGGATGAGCCGGTTGCCGGGGGCTGCGGTCTCCACTCGTGGGTGAAGACCCGCTGCCTCGAGCGTGCTGACTAGCGCCAACTTGACTGAGTTGTGGCGCTCGGTCATGAGCGGAAAGGAGGATCGACATGCTGAGAGGACGTGGGATGTCGTCTCTAGCTCAGTGTGGCAGCGTCGGCAGGACTTGTTCGCTAGTGTAGACCGGGAGGAGGCTGAGGCGCAATAGGTGTATGTGGCGCCAGTCCTCAAATGATAGCGGTGTCCAGCAGGAGGCCAGGTGGGAGACCTTCGGGTGGGGATCCAGAGCGAGACCCCTAGCCATACGGCCTTGGACAGGAAGATCATTGAATTTTGATGTCCATCATTGGTGAGCTGCGAGGCGGAGGGAGAGGACCGCTTTGGCTGACACCGCATAGACGTCTTCGGCAAGGACAAGTGTATGGTTGTCGCCGGTTACATCTAATCTGCAGTGTAGCCTGGTGGCCGCGTGCCGTGTTCTGGTCCAGAGGTTCCCCCCCCCCCGATAGCGTATCGGATCCGGAATAGGCCCCTAGCGGTCGATCCTGACAGGAACTCCGAGAGAGGAAGGGGGTCCGGGGCGTCTTCTCCCAGTGCCCTGGACACTGTCGTCTCCAGCTGTGCCCGGGCGATCTCTCTGACGTCTGGGTCGAACGAGTCCAGCAGCTGGGCAGCCCGAGCCACGGTCCAGACATCTGCCTCCTGCGAAAGAGGGAGGATGCCTAGTCCACTGGCTCGACGTTCCGCGTGGAGGAAGGCCTTCGAGGAAGAGTCTGGGGTCCTCGTCACCGTACGCAGGAAGGCTTGAATTGTCGTGTCCATATCCTGCAGGAAGGCCTTTTCCGTCCGTCCAGAGGCCAGTGAGTGGGATAGAGAGGGGAGGAGGTGGCTGCAGAGGACCTCCATCTTCTGCCAGGGTGCCAACAGCGAGTCCTGGGTCTTGGCGGGCTTCTCCGGGAGTGTTTGTGCAGGCCGGAACAGGAGTTTGCACCCGATATGGATGCCTAGGTATGTTTCCTGTTCCTCTTGGCGGAGGCAGCGGATGGGGACCCCGTAGAGCTCCAGGCCCCCGTCATCTGTCTTCTGCTTCCCCTTCTCTATGACCAGGGAGGCGCATTTCACTGGATTGAAGCGGAGGCCGAGTGTGGTCGCTCCCTGCGACACTCGATCCAGGGAGGTCTGCTGATCTTCCACTGAGTTATCCAGCAGTGTAGAGTCGTCGGCGTAGGTGGTTGTCCTTAGGGTGCGTCCCAGGAGCTGGAAGCCGGGTCCAGAAGGGCCCTTGACCGCACGCAGGAGAGGTTCGGTCGCCAGGTTGAATACAACGGGTGAGAGGTCGTTGCCCTGGCGAACACCCGCGGTTGATCGAATCCTGAAGGAGTCCTCGTTAACCAGGAAGTTGCAGGTCGAGTCCGTGTAGACGTCCCGAAGAACACGTCTCAGATCAGTTGGTAGTGGAAGGCTCTCGAACATGTGATGGAGTATTCCCTCAGGGATCGAGTCAAAGGCATTTGACAGGTCCAGCAATGTGATGGTCAGGTCCCGTTTGCCTTGCTTGGCGTCCTCGATGGTCGACTGCAGGGGGTGTGTTCCTGTATACCCCGGACGCCCGGAAGAAAGCCCTTCTGCTCTGGGGAGATCCAGCCTAGCTCGACCGCGACTCGCGTTAAGCGTGAGGCCAGGGCTCCGGAGAAGAGCTTGTACATGGTGGTGAGCAGGCTGATTGGACGGAAGTTGGCCAGATCGTCCGTTGGCCCCTTCTTATAGATGTAAATTGTCCTGCTCTCCTTTCAGACGGTGGGGATCCCCAGTCGATGTACGACACTCAGGATCCTCTCCATGAGGATACCTTGCCGGTCCACTGCACGTAGATGTCTGTATTCCAGCCGGTCCACTCCAGGTGAAGTGTTGGAGTCACCACGGTGAGTGAGTTGATCCGCTGGGTGTCCAGTGTCTCGACGTCCAGGAGGCAGGTGGTTCCAGCTTAAGGTCCGCCGAAGAGTTGAGCCGTCCGGGGTGATCCGCTGGGTGTCCAGTGTATCGACGTCCAGGAGGCAGGTGGTTCCAGCTCAGGGTCCGCCAAAGATTCGAGCCGTCCGGGGTGATCCGTGGTTAAAGCTACTACACTTTGATCTTAGCCAAACGGCCGAGACGCCGATTAGAGACGCCGAAAGAGCCGTATTAATGATAAAGCTTAGCTTCTTCAACGGTTAACGTTAACAATTATACGGAGTTTTATATGTTATTATTGTTAGAAAGTCCACATATGTGTGTGTGCTTTCGCTCGCGCATATATACTTACCGAAATCAGCTGTTAACAAAGCAAGAGCACGCTTTTCTATGGACGTAGAGGTACACTGTTTCATTCGATTTCTCAAATTACAGTATAAGGCTAAATATATTGTTATCAGTAGACCTGTGTTTATAATTGGGAAGGCCCCTAGCCTGTAGGGTGCAAAACTCCTACTTCATCCGCTTTTGTCTTTCCCGCTGGCCTCACTTGTCCCTCGTTTAGTCTGTTTCCTCTTCCACCGCCCGCAGCTATCTTCCCTGTCGCCTTTCCTCAGTTTCCCACCCCTCTCCCTCTCTCAACAAGCTATATTATGCGGTAGGGCCTATTCTTCAGTCCAAACTGCACGCCTGAAACGGTGCTCGCGGATTCGCAATATCTCATGAGCGGAATAATATTTTGCGGAAATTATGTAGTTAAAATGGAGAGTAGGTATTCTAGCATAGATTTATATGTTAACATTCTATCAGTAGACCTCACTTAAGAAATAGGGAGAAGACATTGCATGTAACGTGCCCGTTGCATATACCAGTCTGTATACAATGTGGCTACGTTAGTCTGTTAGCGCCTGCGCAATATCTTACCCGAGGAGTTATATTTTGTGATGAATATGCATTTAATATGATTAGCGTGTATCACAACATAGATTCATGTAATATATTGTTATCAGTAGACCTGTGTTTATAATTAGGAGAGCGCCCTAGCCTGTAGGGTGCAACACTGCTACTTAATTCATCCCCTCCTGTCCTTCCCCTTGCCTCCCTCGTCCCTCGTTTAGCCTGCTTCTTATTCCACCGGCCGCAGCTATCTTCCCTGCCGCCTTACCTTAGTCTCCCACCCCTCTCCCTCTCTCAACAAGCTATATTATGCAGTTTTCCTTCAGTTCGAACTGCAAGCCTGAGACTGTGCTCGCGGATGCACAATATCTCGTGCGCGGAATAATATTTTGCGGAAATTATGTATTGAAAGTGGAGAGAAGGTACACTAGCATAGATTTATATAATAAAATTCTATCAGTAGACCTCACTTAAGAAATAGGGAGAAGACCTTGCATGTAATTAAAGTGCCCGCTGCCTATACCAGTCAGTAACAATCTGGCTACGTTAGTGTGTTAGCGCATGCGCAATATCTCACCAGAGGAATTAGTTAGAATTTAGTTCGAGTCTTTAAATATCAAAATAACCCAGTCACACTTGAATATATCAGTGACATATTTATATTCTTCTAGCATTTTAAATAATCTTTCAAAATCATACCGCCGTAGCTAGGCAATCTCGTATTTATACACGGTGTACACTGTGCGTGTTTAGCGTGGAAATCAAGTGTAATAGTCAATATCTCAACATTGTTCATTATTATATTCAGCTATGACAATTTAAACTGTTTGCATGGAGGGAGAAATAAGCATCTAACAGAATTTGAGAGCAGTGATATACTACACAAGAAGAAGACAACAGCATTGAACATGGAATGGTTAGTGAAAATAGGGCTATACGCTTGACTGCTGTTACTAAGCGATCTTCTTCTCGGGTCACTACACTACACTCGACCTAACATCTGCAGCACACAGGGCCTGGCACGGTGGTTGAAAGCCTAAAGGTCTGCATGTCTACAGGGCTCTGGTAATAGGAGATACCCAACTACCACTGAAACCTTTGTGAATAGATGCGTGGTAATA